ACAGTAATATTGTGAAATATTATTACAATTTAAAATAACTGTTTTCTGTATGAATATACTGTAAAATGTAATTTATTTCTGTGGTCAAAGCTGAATTTTCAGCATCATTACTCCAGTCTTCAGCGTCACATGATCTTCAGAAATCATTCTAATATTCTGATTTGCTGCATTTTTGATTATTATCAGTGTTAAAAAACAGTTTTAGATTTTTGTGGAAACTGTGATACATTTTGTTTTTCAGGATTCTTTGATGAATAGAACGTTAAAAGAACAGCAGTTATCTCAAATAGAAGTCTTTCTTGATGTGATAAATGTCTATACGGTCACTTTATTATTAATATTTAAAACAGTTATACATTTTGTTTTTCAGGATTCTTTGATGAATAGAACGTTAAAAGAACAGCAGTTATCTCAAATAGAGAAGTCTTTCTTGATGTGATAAATGTCTATACGGTCACTTTGATCAAAATTAATGCATCCTTGCTGAATAAAAGTGTTTTCTTTTTCTGAATCTCACTTACACCAGACTTTTGAATGGTGGTCTTCCACGGTTTCCATAAAAGTATGAAGCAGCACAACTGTTTTCAACATTGATAATAATCAGAAATGTTTCTCGAGCAGCAAATCAGCATATTAGAATGATTTCTGAAGATCATGTGACGCTGAAGACTGGAGTAATGATGCTGAAAATTCAGCTGCGCATCACAGAAATAAATTACATTTTAACATGTATTCACATAGAAAACAGCTGTTTTAATTTGTAGCAATATTACTGTTTTTACCGTATTTGTAAACAAAGAAATGCAGCCTTGGTGAGCAGAAGATACAGAAAAAGCAATCTGTTATGTATTTCAGTAACTTGTATCACACTAAACCTTTGAGGTTTCTGATCTCTCGCCTACTAGTTTAAATCTTGTTTCTGGACATAAATATGTGCAGTGGTAGCTCCACTAACATTCACTGCATTTGTGAAACATGCAAAGTTTGTGAGCGTTTAATATCTCTTTCTCTTAGGGTTATAATAAGGCTGTGGACTGGTGGGCTCTGGGTGTGCTGATGTACGAGATGGCTGCCGGTTATCCTCCGTTTTTTGCCGATCAACCCATTCAGATCTACGAAAAGATTGTCTCAGGAAAGGTAATTTTGCCAGGGAATAAGGAAACTGTAGCGCTTAGATTGAAAGTGAATCAGATATCTCTGCAATATCTGAGATTCTTGTCTTCAGCCCACCCCACTTTACTCGTGTTTGGTTCAGTTAGGCTCAAACACAGTCGATTCTTTTCGATTCCAACGTGATTAAATAATGATATCAAACATTTATCCTGTGTCTCTTTTTTGCAAACCATTTATTGGATCTGAATACCATGAACAAAAATCAACAGGCTAAATAAAAACTGGACTCTTTAAGAGCTGTTTGTGTGCAAAATAAATTGATAAAATTTTAACAGCTCCTTTTCGCCACCTACTGGCGTAACAATGTAATCGACAAATCTTCATTTGAAGTGTCAAATTACTTTCAAAAGGTCATTTATTCTATTTTAATCACTACCATACACACAGTACACACAGTTTATATCTGAACTATAAACTTTCAATTTACAGTATTTCACTGTAAATTATACAATGACTTTTCTTTTTCACTTCCAAAAAATTTATTTTTAACAGTATTTTACTGTGAAATCACATTAAATGTAATTACATTTATTCACCGAATATAGTATGGAAACTTACTGTTAACCAGTTAACAGGTTTTTACTGTAGCATTTTACAGTCGTTTACTGTTAAAATCACAATCATTTTTTACAGTGTACGCTGCACGGATGAACCAAGTGATCACAACATTGATAGCACACCTCAAGGGTTGAGGAATGAAACAGACGAATCATTATCATTTAGGAATAGAATCACGTTGGGGTTTGAATCGTGTTCGCGATCTTTAACGCGATCTTTTAATCTATTAAATTAAAGTGCTTTGTCATGTTGGTGGTGACACCTCTCTTGCAACATGTTTAGCTATCACAGATATTATACTTAGCTTTTTGGCTTCTGATCGCAAATGTAGGCAAACTTTGGAGCGCTGAGATTAGCGAGCAAGGTCCTGGCAGATCGCTAGGTCCGGTCCTCACCGATGAAGAGAAGAAAAAAAAGCGCGTAGGACTCGAGTGACGGAATCCAAATTTTAATTTGACAACAAGTATCCGATTCCTGACCTTAAGTGTCCTATTCTGGAATCGGAATCAATTTTCGATTCCCAACCCTAGTCTAAACCACGGTCTTTTCACAGGTACGGTTCCCGTCACACTTCAGCTCCGACCTGAAGGACCTGTTGAGAAACCTGCTGCAGGTGGACCTCACCAAACGCTACGGCAACCTTAAAAACGGAGTTAACGACATCAAAGGTCACAAGTGGTTCTCAACTACTGACTGGATAGCCATTTACCAGCGGAGGGTGAGAGTCGCTTTCATCACTGATAGAGATCTGATGCATTCAGTGCTTCCGCTCCCAAAGCTCAATCAGCAAGACTTGTATCTCATATGTGACCCTGGACCACAAAACCAGTCATAAGGGTCCATTTTTCGAAATTGGGATTTATACATCACCTGAAAGCTGAATAAATAAGCTTTCCAAAGTTCTTAGCAATGCATATTATTAATCAAAAATTAAGTTTTTATATATTTACGGTAGGAAATTTACAAAATATCTTCATGGAACATGATCTTTACTTAATATCCTAATGATTTTTGGCATAAAAGAAAAATCTATCATTTTGACCCATACAATGTATTTTTGGCTATTGCTACAAATATACCCCAGCGACTTAAGACTGCTTTTGTGCTCCAGGGTCACATGTTACTGTATACTGGATGTCATTTAGTTTTACCACTAGCAGTGTTGGGGTGTAAAGCAAGTTATGTAATCAGATTACTTTTTTCGAGTAACTAGTAATGTAACGCATTACTTTTAAATTTAAGACAATACCTGACTTAATTTTTCACATAAGTAACACCAGTTACTTTGTTTTCTCATTCATTCACGACACTCTCCTGTCTCTGTGTTTAGAGAAAGGCAGAGGCACTTCCTTCAGCCTGAGACTTATTCATTTCACTTTTGGTGTGAAAGGGCCTTTACAGTTGCCAAAAATTTAACTTTTGGGTTTTTTGTTATTAAAAATAAACAAGCATCCCAGCTCAGGTGTCAAAAAGTAACACGATGCATTACTTTCCATAAAAGTAACTAAGTAACCATTTAGTTACTTATATTGTAATGCATTACTTTTAAAAGTAACTTTCCCCAACACTGATCACTACACTGTAAAAAAATACAGTAAAATTTACAGTAACTTACTGGCAATTTTGGTTGCCAGTAAGATTGTTAATTTACAAAGGTACTGTAAATCAATAATTACAATTGTACTGTAAAAATACAGTAGAAGCGTTTATAAATATGAGTGAAATTACAAGAGCAACTGTGAACTTGTAATGCTATACATACATTTTACAGTAAATTAGAACATTTGTTGTGAAATTCAATTCACTAATTTAACTACAATTGAGATATAGTATTATTAAACCAAATGATATGTTCATTTGTCATACTTAAAAAAAATCATAATTGGCTGAGTATCAATAAGAATAAGAGTATGGTTTAAAGCAAATATCAACATTTGAGACCTGCATTACATTAATATACATCAGTATCTATTTTAAACAATGTTTGTTTTCTTTAATAATCAGTGTAGAGCCATTTGGAACATATTTTATGGGTAAATCAAGCCTAAATTATGACAAATGTTAAGTTAGATGAACAGAAATATGTCAAATTCATTGTAACGTCAATATTGTTTGAAATTAATATTATGGACTTACAGTCTTATATTTCTGACATAGTATTAATAGCTAATTAATTAGCATGCTTAATAACATAATTAGTAACATTTGGACTTCTGTCCTGAATTTTAAAAGCAAATATGAACTTTTGTGATCTATACTTCACATTAATATACATCTGTATCTATTTTAAAGATATTTTTGCACCTTTCTCTGTATAAGGCAATTAGGAAAATATTTTCAGATCCATGTAAATCAAGCACAAATTATGACAAAGATGAACGTCAGATTCACAAATCTGCGACACGCACAAAGGGGCTTGATAGGATTATTGTCATTCTTAAAAAAAAATGCAAAGAACAAAGAAATGAAATATTGATATTGGCGAGTACTCAAAAATGAAAAAAGGAGCATTTCATCCATATTTCATACTCAAATGTAAACTATGAAGCAGAAAAACACAACAATATGAACTATGTAATGCAATAATATTAATATTATCGCATTTCTTCGCTGTGTTTTTTGCAGGTGGAGGCCCCGTTTGTGCCTAAATGCAGAGGTCCCGGGGACACCAGCAACTTCGACGACTACGAGGAAGAAGAGATCCGTGTGTCGTTCACGGAGAAGTGCGCGAAAGAATTTGCCGAGTTCTAGGGGAATAATTGATAGAAATCAGAGAGAGAGAGAGAGAGGAATAAAGAGAAAGAGAGAGAAGGAGAATAAGTGCATGAATCTTAAAACCGATCCTTCCTCCTGTTAAACAGCAGAGAAACCAGCGGAAGAGAGCAGAGAAGACCTCCAGGGATAAACAGTGAGGCCTTTATCATCTCCTCTGTTTTAATCATGTTTGTAATTTTTTTTAAATCTCTGTTCATGTGATATTAATCATGATGGGTTTGATTGGGTGTAATTGTTGGCCTGTGGACTGGGATTGTTTTTGCCGCACAAACACAGGGTTAGTTATCGTCTATTCAGAGATTATCTCTAATCTGGAGCAGTTACCGCTAAAGTGCAAGTTCTCCACTAGGTCACCATAACAACCGTACAGAAAAATAGAAAAAATGTTTTAAAAAAAATTATTCCTGTGTAATAACCGAAATATTTTTGGTCCTGTATACTGTCATGTGTTTCTTTATTCTTAAAAATGCACTGAAGGGATGACAAAGTGACAATGGCATCGAAAAGAAGCCATGATTTCATCAAATGAGCACCTGTTTTTTTTTTTCTTCCTCTTTCAGCTGTAGGTTCACCGCGCTCTGTAAAATATTCACTGATGAACTTTCACCTATGAGATGTGCCATGAAATCCTACAGGTGTCAATATTTTGACTCGTCAGTTGTTTCATTGATTATAGCTGACAGATAGTAGGGGCCCTAAAGGCTGCGATCACGGGGCCGACAGAGGAGGGGATGAATGTTTTTGTTTCGTATTGTTAATACTATAATTGTTACAGTTCTCATTGGGTTATACATTTATAAAACCTGACGACATCGCACACGTTCTGTGCGTGATTTCACGCGGCGAAGCCTTGCGGTCGACGCTCTCTTCACCATTTCTTCCCCCTTTATTCTTCCATTTCTGCGTTTTTAAATAGGCAAAGTCTTCTCTCTGAATGGGTGCAGTGCATCTGGCTCCTTTTTGGGTGAGAATTTCTTACACGCAACTCTCTAGGCTACAAATATCTCCTAAGCTGGAGGTGAACTCAGTGGATACCAGTGCTTACTCCTGAGGACATGGTTCAAGTTAATTGTGATATTTTGCACCACAAGAATCATTCCAATAAAGTATTACTATAAATACCAAACAGGTTTTACGTCCCTTTATGTGTGATAGTGGAAACTCCTAACATTGTGCTGAGGTCTTATTTGGCACGGTATCGTACCGTACGAGTCCTGAACTGTGCATTGTGGGATCGGGCACCATTAATGAAGACAGAGGGATGAGTTGGGAGGACTGTTTCACACCCGGAACCTCCAAAACAAGTTAAGTATGCCATGAGCGTGTTTGCACTGTGGTGGTGTAAGATAGCTTTGTATTTCTTAACCATTACAGGACAGTGCAGAGAAATCATTAAATAACTCCTGTTTGATGGCTGGTAGCTGATGATGTTGGTGGAAGTTAATAGGCTTTCTCCAACTGTTATACCTGTGTGAATTTTGGAAATACAATGGAAAATAATTATTCGAATCATGTCACTTTGTTCCTATATATGCCAGGCTTCCATTTTTTGTGCTTGTAATTAATGCACTTCACATTTTAGGCCAGTTTTATAGCTGACACATTTAGGCACTTTAATTAAACCTTTTTGATCTTTACTATTCTTGCCAATGTAATTAGTATATTTTTTTGTTTTTGTTTCAATGTATCTGTTAACAGCTGGCAGTGACGTGAGGACTTTTTAAATAAGACTAGACTCATCGACCATTCTGTCACCTAACCATTAAACACAGATGCGTTTCAAAATGTTATTTAAATTAATATCGAGAACGCCTATGGAAAATCTGCTGCATTAGATGTGATGGACTGCGGCGCGAGCGTGAACAAAAGCGCAAAACGTGGAACTCCACAATACCACCTTAATAAATAAGCGCCTCGCATAGGCGCAGAGCGCAGCGGATGATTCTCTTCGGAAAGTAGTCCACCTTAAGCGCACATAGTGGGTGAACGCAGGCGTAGAGCGAGGCTTCCGCTTCATTCCCAGCCGGGCTCGGAGCGGATCACTTCGGAGACAAGAGAGAGGCGCTCGGCCGAAGCCAACGGAACCAGTGCTGAAACATGTCGGAGCCGAAGTACCGAGAATGGATCCTGGAAACCATCGACTCCCTGCGCTCGAGAAAAGCCCGACCGGACCTGGAAAGAATCTGCCGAATGGTCCGAAGAAGATACGGGTCAGACCCGGACAAAACCAGGGTTGAACTAGAAAAACTGATACAAGAGCAAACTGTGCTGAAAGTTAGCTACAAAGGGTCCATTTCGTACAGGAACGCTGCTAAAGTGCAAAGAAAATGCAGAAAGAGAACGGAGCAAACCACCGGCTGCGGCAGCGGCGAGTCGCTCGGTGAACACGACAAACACGCCAGTTTCAATAACAACGGCGACAGCGCGCTCAGCCTCACGGACCAAGAAGAGTGCGAGGATAAGGAGCCCGAGGACCCCGGGGTGAGTCCGTGTCCTGACCCCCTGCCTCAAACCTCGCCCTCCACTCTCGAAAAGGAAGACAAGATGTTACCCCTACCTAGCGGAAACAGTTTTATTAGTTGTGGCGCAACGGGCCACTCCGCCGGGAGCGTGAAAGCAAGTGCATCGAGAGACAAGAGATCAGTCGCTGAGGCGGGGGCAAGCGGCTCCTCTGCCCACCGCGATGCTTCAAGTGCGAGCGGACGGGCCGAAGGAGACAAGCCGCTCGCCGCTGGCCACGAGGGCAGAGATGAGGATGAGGATGATGAGAAAGAAGAGAAAACTTGCTCGAGCGTCAGCAGTCCGCCTCCGAGAAACAAGCTCCCCGCGTCGCCCAAACCCAAACTCAAGGTGGGGGCAAAGGGCGCCGGGGCGCGCTGCTCGGAGTCTCCGGACGAGAACTGCGCTGATCTGGGCGATAGACTGGTTGCCGCGGTCCGAAGTCTGTCCGAGAGACACCGGGGCTCCGCCGCAACACGGGGCCACGAGCCGCCGGGACCGAAAGAGATCCTCGGCTTCCTCAGCACGCAGCGAGGGATGCCCGGGGAGAAGCTGACCCGCAACCGCGTTAAAGTGGTGCTGGAGCGCGAGATCGAGAGGGGTCGTCTCCGCAGGACCCGCCTGGGCCACATCACCCTTCCCGCGAGGGGGATGGGGGCGGCCAAGCCGTCCGCGCGGCTCCTGAAGAGCGCACTGCAGGACAGACATCTCGCGAAAAAGGTAACTTAATATTTCCAACACGTCCTGCGCAGCGCGCAGCATTGCACGCCGTCTTCGTATAAATAAATGATCGTGCTTTGAGAAAAGCGAAAGAAAAAAAAGCGCATCCGCGCACCATCTGATTTCCGCTCTTTTCTCATGCGCAAGTGTGCGCCAGAACAACCAAACTGAGTGCGTGTCTGAGGCAAACGCGGTTTTTGTGCTTGTTGAGGTCGTGTTGTGTGCAAACGGTGAGGGAACCGACACCTCAGTTGTGTTTTCCGCTCGACACACAACTGTCTGCGTGCCCTGTTTCACTTCAGCGTCTCAGCACAAAAGGTGCGGACTCGCGCTCGGCAGCGCCCGCCTGCCTGCTCTCGTGCGTGCGAGCGAGACACCGTCGCTTCTCTTGTTCCGTCGCTCTAGTAGACACTCATCACACAAAAGCGCGCTGGTCGAGAATCAGACTGCTGCTGAAACACTGATGTCTGCGTGAGCTACGCGACATTGTTATTAGGATGCGTTATAAGTTGTGCTGGATATTTTTCACTAGGCGGTGTCTGTTAAGTTAGACGCGCACGGAAAATGTAAAAGGGAGGGAGGGGAGGACCCGAGGCTCACGTCTGTTTTCTCAGGCGAGCCGTCGCTCTGTGCAATACTTCAGTCATACGAGGTAAAAGCAGTTGCGATGGCGGAAATTCGCTGCATGGCGAGCCATTAAAGTGCGGCTCATCCGTCGTCGTGATTCGTTCCCTCTTTTCATATCAGATTTCTCAAGCACTGTCCCGCTCACTTACAGACCAAATTGATTATGAGCCCCACTGAGTTAGTGCATGGTCAAATCGTTGTTATCTAATCAAAATCACTAGCATGAGATTCTCTAGCGGATGTTTGGGGAGTTTCTGATGTGGTTGTTCAAAGGAAAAACTGCAAATTCGTTTAGTCGCAGTCCTGCAGACGATGGAGGTCGCACACAAGATACGGGCGTCGTAACCCTATTTGGCCTTTTCCCGTAGAGGGGGCGTCGAGAGTCAGTAGTTTCTCTCTCTCTATTTCTTTCCTGTACATTTGCAGCTAATGTGATGTAAGGTACAGTCACCGTCAGAGTCAGGGATCTCTAAAATAAAGCGTTCAGTACTGATGGTGTCTCTATTCCTGCTTGTCAGGAGGAGGTGAAGGAGGAGGAAAGGATGGAGGTGGAGAGTGAGGAGCATGGCCCACAGGAAAACATAGCGGGCCCAGCGGAGGATTCTCCCCAGACCGTCACTGATGGAGGTCCCGCAGGTGTCAAAGCTTGCACTGACCCGACCTCACCTGACACGGAGGTGGAGACCGATCATGGCACCGACTCTCTGAGGTCTGAGGGGAAGTCCCAGTCATCTTCATCGCTGGAGACCTCAAACCAGAGCTCCTTACAGCAGGAAGTAGATGTGGGTGGAAGTGAAGGTACTTGCCCTGTCTCTGTTTCATGATAGAAACATTTCCTTCAGTATTTGTATCTGTTTTTTAAAACATCTAAGCATGCTTAACTTAAGATAAACTGCTTAGAATAAGATGGAGAATAGATATTAAATTACATTTTTAGTCACATGGACAATTAGTCGGTTTCTTGTTTTAAGCATTAAAATTGCAAAGTTTGTCAGTAAAATAAACTTGTGTAAAATATTCTCTGAAAACAAATATCTTAATATACATTACTGTTTTGAGGATTGTTTTACGTTTAGATTTTTGTACTGGAAAACAAGACCATTCAAATAATAATTCATATTAATTTATTTTTATTTTGTTGTATTTAATAATAAATTATTTATATATATATATATATATATATATATACAGTGAGTTTAGTACATCAGGAGATTCTTTTCATGGAGCAAATTAAATTTCTTAGTTACTAAAAACGTTCCAGAACTGTTTGGATGGTTTTTCAGAAACACTAGTTAGTTTTAAGCAATGCAAGAATAGAATGAAATAAAATTCTGAAATCTCGCCATCATCTTCTGTTTTACTTGATTAAAAACGATCATCATTTAATGAAACTTGAAGAACAATACAAGAATTCATGACCGCAATGATTTTTAATGTTACACACAAATCTATGCTTTCATACGCTCTCTACACTACGGCTAATAATCACTCATTCAGTGTTTAAGTATTGGCTCCCTTTCAATTCTTGAGTTCGAATT